AACCTGGGACCCTCTGGCTGGAAAGGGGGCGACAGGCACACCTGCCCCCCCACCAGTGGCGTCACAAGGGGGGTGCGGCCCGCACCCGGGTCACACCAAAATGACTGACAGCCATTTTGGTGTCACCCCCCTCTTAAAAGTCGGTCATGGACCAAGAGAGGAGGGGACCCAGCGGCATACCTCCTCCCGCCGGGTGACTGTCCCCTCCTCTCTCTGCCGGCGTCTATCACCAAGATGGCCGCCGGCAGGTATCAATAAGATCGCCGAGCATGCGTGATGATGTCACAGCGGGGTGTCACCTGGTAACAGTTCCGGCTGACATTCGGCCTCGGGACGCCCCTGCCCCCCACCGTGACCCAATGAGATTAAGTCAGGCTGCCTCACTATACCCAGGGACGTCCCTGGGTATAATACCAAATCAGATTCATGTACTTACGCTTCTTCTATATAATGATGTCTGAGTGGTTACAGAGTTGCATTCATTTTTATCTTTTGTATCTTTCTGGAGTTCAGCTTAAAGGGTTTCTAAGCCCTCCGGGGGTTTTTGTTTGCATATGTATGAGGCTTGCAAGCAGTAGATATATGCAAAAAGTTTTTTTTTTTAACTAAACGCTTTAACACGGTTTAAACTTACCCCTGCCTTCGCCGCCCGAAAAACCAAAACTGCTCGGGCGGCCGCAAAGCATCTTGGGGCGGGCGCATGCGCAGTTCGGATTTTCGGCCGGGAGACGAGGAGAGACGCAAGGTAAGTCTATGGAGGGCGTGCACCCGCATGCAGACATGGTGGGACAGGAAGTGCCAGCAAGGACAGAGGAGTCGGCGCTGGACGGGAGACCCGCCGCACAGCTGGATGACTGGCGGAACGGACGGGGCGGGTAGAACTGGCTATGTCTCTAGATAGGCAGAGCCAGCTGTCAGTCACGCAGCTGGGTGGATCCAGACATAATTGTCGGGATCCGCTTCAGCTGCGGCGTCTCAGTATATAGGGAGCTACAGCTAGCGGTATACTGAGCCTAGGGTGACGGGAGGACGCTAGTTTGTGTCCTCCGGTTACCCTAAGGAGAACTATGGGGAAAAGCCCGGACCCCATAGTTCTCCTTTAAGGTAAGTGCTGACACTAACATTGGGGGAGGGGAAAAAAAAATTGACTTTAATGTGACTTTAATGACCCCTCCGCTCTGTTACATTGTACATTGTGCGGTCCACAAGCTCTGCCAATACTTCCATCTGGAAATAGACGGTTCTGCTTTGAAATCTGCATCTCGCGGCATCTTCATCTGAGCGTTCCAAACTTTCCCCCAATTCCGCCGCTCAATGAAAACATAACCAACAAAAAAAAAAGAAATAAAAGAATTTGGAATGAAAGGCCGGGAAGCGTCTTCTGTACTTGAAGATAAATCCGGATCTTCTGAGGCCGTCTGCTTTTTGATGTGTCTCATTACAAGTCTCATCGGCGGCTCATCCTTCAGTCATTAAGGCAAACAATAAAGGA